TCTCCTGCATTGAGCGTCTGACCCTTGGTGGTCAGTGTGTGTCATAGTGACCAGTCATTCCCAGTCTTTCTGCTATTAGGGTCAGTTTGCAAATTACCCTTTTACTATATAGGATAGAGGCCTGGTGCATGGGTGAGGGTCAGCTGGTTTGCCATGAAGGGTGTCCCAGATCAGGTTGGGGGTCCTGCTTGGGTGCCTGGCCAGCCTGGGTGAGGGGCTGATGGCTGTTTTCAGGGTGGTCACACCCCCTCCAGGGTGGGGGTCCCCAGTGGGGTGCCTGGCCAGTCTGGGTGAGGGGCTGAGGCCGTTTTCAGGCTGGCGGGTCACTGAAGCTCCCAACCCCTCCTTTTTTCCTTTTTTTAAAAAAAAAAAAATTCTGGGTTTTATTTACCTTCTATGGTTGTCACTGGAGCTGAGAGCCGGCTTTAGCTCTGAGGCTTGGCTCCAGCTCTGAGACCTTGGCTGCTGATCTGGGTTTGTTTGGCTCCTATAATTGAAACACTGTTTCAGCTCCAGTTCCAAGGCCAGCCAGCTGAAAGCAGGTTTCTGGAGTTTATTTACCTTCTATAATTGCAACATTGTTTCTTAGAGTGCAGCTCAGGGGCTGGCAGCGGCAGGCGGGGAACCTTGGCTTCCTCCCTCACTGGAGCAAGCAAGCCTCCTGTTCGCTTCAGCTACCTGGCTGCCGGCCGCCATCTTGGTTGGCAGTTAATTTGCATATCACCCTGATTAGCCAATGGGAGGCGTGTCAGAGGTACGGTTAATTATCATGTTTGTCTATTATCATATAGGATTATCTTTACCCATTGTATTATTTGTCTCCTATGTCAAATATTAAGAATAAAGGCTTGGGTTTACTTCTGGGCTCTCTACTCTGTTCTACTGATATGTCTATTTTTTGCCAGTACCATGTTGTTACGATTACTATGGCTTTGTAGTATAGTTTGACATCAGGTAGCATTATTCCTCCAACTTTGTTCTTTTTTTCTCAACATTGCTGTGACTATTCAGGTCTTTTGTGTTTCCATATAAATTTTAGTTCTAGTTTTGTGAAATACCAAGATAAGCCACTGGTATCTTCATAGCTGAATCTATCGATTGCTTTGGGTAGGTAGTATGGACATTTTAATGATGTTAATACCTTTCCTTGAATATGGTATATGCTTCCACTTACTTGTATCTTTCATTTCTTTCTTCATTGTCTTCTAATAATTTTGCAAGTACAAGTCTTTTACATCCTTGATCAAATTTATAACCAGGTATTTTATTCTTTTTGAAGAAATTGTGAATGGAATTGTTTTCTTAGTTTCCTTTACTGATATTATTGGTGTAAAAATGAAACTCATTTCTGGGTATTTATTTTGTATTCCCCTGCTTTACTAAATTCCTTTATCAGTTCTAGTTTTTTTGGTGGAATCTTTAGGGTTTTCTATATACAGTATCATGTTATCTGCAAATAATGGCAGTTTTAATTATTTCCAATTTGGTTGCCTTTTATTTCTTCTTCTTATTTGATTGTTTGGTTAAGACTTCCAGCACTATATTGAATTAGAGTGGTGAAAGCAGACATCCCTGTCTTTTCCCTGATCTTAAGGGAGCCAGTTGTAGTTTTTGCCCACTGAATATGATGTTGGTTATGGGTTGGTCACATATGGCCTTAATTATGTTGCAGTATGTTCCCTCTACTTCCACTTTGCTGAGAGTTTTTATCATAAATAGGTGCTGGATTTTATAAAATATTTTTCTGCATCTATTGATATAATTAGGTCTTTATCCTTCATCTTATTTATGTGGTCTATCATGCTTATTGATTTACAGATATTGTACCAACCTTGCATCCCCAGAATAAATCCTATTTGATCAAGGTGTATGATCTTTTTAATGTATTACTGGGACCAGTTTGCTAAAATTTTGTTGAGGATTTTAATATCTATGTTCATCAGGGATATTGGCCTTTAATTCTTTCCTTGTAATGCCTTTATATGGTTTTGGAATCATGATGCTGGCCTCATAAAATAAGCTTGGAAGTCTTGCCTCCTCTTGAATTATTGTAATAGTTGGAGAAGGATAGATGTTACTTCTTTTCTGAATGTTTGGAAAAATTTACCTGTGAAGCCATCCAGTTCAGGACTTGTATTGGGAGTTTTAGGTTACTGCTTCAATTACTGTCTATTCAGGTTCTCTGATTCTTTCTTATTTGGTGTTGGAAAATTGTATTTTCCTAGGTTTTTCTTTTGTCCAGATTGTGCAATTGTTGGCATATAGTTGTTCAGATTTTCTTACAATCCTTTGTATTTTTAAAAAAATTATTCTAGAGAGATAAAAGGGAGAGAAACATTATTGCTCCATCCAACTATACATTCATTAGTTAATTCTTGCCCTGACCATGGATCAAATCCACAACTTGGTACACTGTGACAACACTCCCAACTAATTTAACTACCTGGTCTGGGCCCTTTGTATTTCTTTGGTGTCAGTTGTTACTTTTCTTTCATTTCTGATTTTTGGGGTCCTCTCTTTTTTTCTCGGTAAGTCTGGTTAAAGGCTTGTTGATCAAGCCCTGGCCAGGTTGGCTCAGTGTTTAGAGTACTGGCTTGTGGACCAAAGGGTCACTGGTTTGATTCCTGGTCAAGGACATGTACCTGTGTTGCAGGTTTAATCCCTGGGAGCAGCCAGGACATGTGCGGGAGGAAACCAATCGATGTGTCTCTCTTGCCCTCCCTCCCTTGCACTTCCTCTAAAACAGATTCTCAGTCCCTTGCTCTCTTCTTCTTGCGGATGTTGTTATGCTTCTTGTTTTCCCAATGGTCCCTTAAACTATTCTTTTTTTAAAATATATTTTATTGATTTTTTTACAGAGAGGAAGGGAGAAGGATAGAGAGTTACAAATATCAATGAGAGAGAAACATCGATCAGCTGCCTCCTGCACACTCACTACTGGGGATGTGCCTGCAACCAAGGTACATGCCCTTGACTGGAATCGAACCTGGGACCCTTGAGTCCACAGGCCAACGCTCTATCCCCTGAGCCAAACCGGTTAGGGCTATTCATTTTTTTATTTGAAAAAATACCCTTAGGTGAGGATTAACAACAACAACAAAAAGGTTTGTCAATCTTATCTTTCCAACGAACCTTCTCTTGGTTTTATTAATCTTTTGTATATTTTTTAGACTATTTTTTAATTCGTGCTTGGATCTTTATCATTTCTTTCCTTCTACTCACTTTGGGCTTTTTTCACTGTTTCTCATAAATACTGGGTTATTGTATTCTCATTTTCATTTGTTTCAAAGTATCTTTTGATTTCTTCCTCGATAGCATTAACTCGCTCATTGTTCAAGAACATGTTATTTACCTCCATGTCTTTGTGTGTTTTTCAGATTTTTCTTATAATTGCTTTCTAGGTTCATAGCCTTATGGTCAGAAAAGATGCTTGATCTGATTTGAACCTTTTTAAATTTACTGAGACTTGTTTTGTGTTCTATCATGTGGTCTATCCTAGAAAATGTTTCATGTGCACTGTATATTCTGTTGCTTTGGGATGAAATGCTGTAAAAATATCAGTTGAATCCATCTGATATAGTACATCA